TCCTGGTCTTGCTGTTGTGTTCCTGATGCACTTTAATCATGGATGTTGTCCAACAAACCGCTGAGTTACCTTGGAGGACCATTGATCTTCGTGAATATACTTTAAGGAAAAAGTTGCTTTTTGGATTTACCCGGTCACTCACTTTGATCATTAGTAAAGTAATTTAGCCTATAGTTGGGAAAACTTTTTCTCACCTGCTGATTAAACAGGTTTTCCCGACTGCAACGTCTCCCACTACAATGACTTTGGCGATATTAAAGCTGGAAGCAGAAAGTCCAAAGTGTAAACAATCAGATGACAGAAGAAGCACGCTGGTACCACAGTCAGAGCTCATATTGAACATTCAACTAAATGTTTGATGTTTTATTTGAAAACCGAGGATTTTAAAAACTGCTAGAATAAAATTTTAGCAAAGGAAAATGTTTGCCAAACCTGAAGTATTTCCTAAAGCTGTTTTCAGTGAGTTCAAATGTGCTTTATGTTATTGAATCATGTTTTTTTTTTATATATAAAAATTGTTTTATAGACATTTCTGAACAAAAATTCCTGATAGGACTCTGAAGCACCACAGCTTGATTAAAAGGTAAATGTTTCAAAGCGCTGTTGTTATATGAGAGGTTATGGTATATATTTCACCAATTAAAAAGATGAGTAACACTTCAAACTTAATTCAAACAGATTCTTAGACTTAACTAACATTTAGCTGCTTTCTTTCTGAGCTGAGCAGAAACCTCTATATCAGATTTAGGGAAAACATTTCCTAAATGATGGGTTGTTCAGAGCTTCTTATACTTGGAAATTGTTTGCAAAATAATAAAAACTTCCCAATAATTCTACTTCTGAGTTTCAAGGAGTCTTAATTTGGATCTAAGTACTTATTTATTTAAATATTGAATTAAATCCTTTTAACAGCTTAAGCAATTCTCACTTTGTCGTTTTAGAGTCAGGCAGAATAATGCTGTCAGATACGGTTGGTTTTGCAGATGTCTTTCAGCTGATTCAGCAGACATACTTTAGTGTGACTTCACAGCCCAAACTGGAGTTGATTCGTTTAGCCTGAACAGACATCTCTGTGAAGACAGGAGGGACTTTATAGGCATAATAATCCTAAAATGGATCTTACCTCACACCATCTGTCTTCTGAATCTGGCAGGCAGCTCTCACTTGTGGGTGGAAGCTTTCTTTGGTGTGCAAAGCTGCATCTGGACTAAAACACTATAAAAAAGGATTACAAGAAAAGATTAAAAAACAAAAACAGGGGATGATAAAAACTAAACTTATATTTGACATTTAAAGGAATGAAATTCACTTTTTTCTGCCTAAAAATAAGGAGAAACACGGATCCAAACTAATCTTAGGACTTTCTATAGCTTCAGTTATTAGATCATTTCACAGTGGAAGGTTATTTCAGTCATGCTACAGAGAAAGACCTGTGGGCATTTTTGTGTTTGGAACTTTGAGGAATTTTAAGAAAGTTTTATATTTGCTGCAAAAGTGTCTTTACAGGTCTGCCTAAAAAGTTGATCAGACACCTTCAGTTGATCCAGAATGCTGCCACCTGCATCCTCACCAAAACTAAGAAAGTAGAGCACATCTCCTTACACAGACTCCCTGCATGTCAGAGAATAGACTTTAAAATACCTCTTTTATTCTTGTTATCAGTGTATCAGCCAACCAAACATAGAGAAGCAGCCTTTAGGTCTTACTCTTGAAAAGAATTCCCAGAAAACTGTAATAGTGCTAAAAATCAAGATTAAAAGCTTCTGTGTCCTTTGACTGTGCTACCTAAACATTGTTAGTTAAGATTTTGGTCCAACTTTCTTTCTTTTTTTAAAAATCATTTTATAAATCATTTTTTTCACTTGAGTTATTCATGTTTATTAATTATCTAATTACCTTTATTTCCCTGCAATCTACTTTCATGTATATTTTATGACAGCACAGCAGCTGTATTGCTAAATGTGCTATACAATATGTGCTCACAAAAGCCTTGAGCTTTCCCATACATTACCACGTTTGAAACGCATACTTATATTACTACCGTTGCACATTACAAAGGGGCACACGTGTTGATAGAGAGCAAAAAATTATTCCAGTTTACAGCGCAACACATTGGGGTTTGTGACGGATAGGAAGCAAAATGTAATTGCTATGAAAACGTTTCCACAGCCATTCCAAAAATAAAAAGCAAAAAAAACACTGGACTTTGTTTTCCAACTTTGAAGACGTTTTGCTTCCCATCCAGGAAGCTTTTTCAGGTCAAAATGTCTGGATTAGTTCCAGGTTTATACACTGGCCCAAATAAAAGCCTTTTTATGGCTTAGAAAACATGCAAATTGAACTGAAAAAAAACAGGTCCACCCCTTAGTAATGGGGAGTCATTGAGATTGTTGTTGGCCCGGCTTACAGGAGCGATATTTTGACCAGCTGCATGGCGAGGAATCAACTCTATCGCTGCATTGTAGGTTTTTGAGAGCTAAAACATGAGTCCACCCCCTCTGTGTAAGGTTGTTTTTTCTTTCTTAACATAAATGGCTTCCTTCACACCCCTTTCAAACCACCTGTCCTCTTTGTCCAAAATGTTCTTAAGGTGTAGGTGGACCGCAGAGTCTTTTCCTTGTTTCCAAAGCCCTAAAGTTGCACCTTTTTAAAGCTAACTTGTAATACTTTTTTTATATATTTTTTTTTTGTCCTTAATATAGTGTATTTTAAATGATCATCAGCTTGTCCTTGTTGTTCTGGTTGTTTTACTCGCCTTTGGGAGGTGCGTGATGATTCGTTCCTTCTTCACAGGAGGCAACATGCTGCCACAGCGGCGTCACAGATGATCACTTGCACACTTCAGAGACACACGATCACTTATTTTATTCTAAATGAGGCACTTTGTTATGTTTCCTCTCATTTAACAACTTGCACCGTCTTAATGTCTTCTATATTTGCCTGAAAAAAGAAAATAAAAACATGTTTGAAATATGATGATCGTTTTCAACAGAAAGGCAGAGTGCACTTCAAAATAGAAAAATAATCCATCTGAAAACAGATTCATTTGATCTTAACCTGAATGTTAATATTTATTAAATGTTAAAATGTTGTACCGAAAACCAATATTACACATCCTTATTATTCAACCAAAAATAAAAAAAAAATTTTTTAGCAGACCATCCCTTGCAAATACACTCTATTGCTCTTTACTTCACACCTGCTGTTAAATTAAAGTTAATATGTTCTTTGATCTGCGATAGACTGGCGACCTGTCCAGGGTGTACCCCGCCTCTCGCCCATTGACTGCTGGAGATAGGCACCAGCATCCCTCGCGACCCCACTCGGGACAAGCGTGTAAAGAAAATGGATGGATGGATGGATGGATGTTCTTTGATTAAAAAAAAACGTATTTGTTCTAAAGGTTTTTTTTTCAGGTAGGATTAAACCAAACTTACTGAGCAAAGATATAAGTCATATCAACATGTAAAAATCCCCAGCCTGCTTTATTAAAGACTGAATTAATCACTTGTGTAACATGCAACAACAGCTGCAATATAAAAATGGGCAGTTTAGTTAGTTAATGAAAAGACAAAAGTAAAAAAAAAACAAAAAACTATGCAGCTCCCAGGAGCCTGAGGGATATGCAGGGATTTCTGAGTAGTACTAGCTGTTTTCGTTCTGTGCCAAGAATCTCTTATCTATTCATTTTTTGCATGTTTAAGGAGTATCTTTGGTAGATATAGTCCTTCTCTTCTAGGAAAACTAAATTAATAAATAACGCCTGTGCAAAACCTCCTAAATGTATTGGAGGACTATGTTAATGTCTGAAGTGTGTGAGCTAAGCTGGAGCTCACTTACAAAAAAAAAAAACAAAAATTGGGAAACAGAAAAAAATCTGATAGATAAGCTCTGTGTTCAAGCACAGATATCTGTGGAAAAGAGCTGACCTAATAAGCTGATAGATTAGGAGAACTTGTGTAGTTTCAACTTATTCTTTGCCCATACAAACCAAGTTATTGCAGCTTTTTGTTATTGTTTTAAGTATATGTCACATTAAGGTGAAAATTGTTTTGATCACATCAAAACTACAGCAATTTTGTTATCCCCTTAAAGACTAAGAAATTCATCTGTAAATAAAAAATCTCTTAATTCTCTAATACATTATTAATCCATATAGAGAACTAAGCAAACAATGGTCTATGTCGTTCAGTCTTTTCAGACAAAAGAATCCAGAGAACAGGCTTTCAAACTGCATTAGTAGATGCAAACTGCAAAAAGATAGACATCTCTACTGCACAACCCAAAAATCTATGGATTCAATTATTCTATGTGGACAAATAGAATTAAAACAGCTTTACCTGAACCAGATGGTATTATAAAAACAGTTTTTAAAAACTCCGAGATATGTATAACACAAAATGTGTATAATGAAGAAACGGTCTCCAGAGGAAACTTTGAACGCAGGGGATGCGTCGAGGATGTTTCAAACTGTTGTTAAATCAACTGTTTTAACAGCTTACGCGTAAAAAAAAAAAAAAAAAAAACAAGTACACTTCGCTGCGGCAAACAGGAAGGGGCGGGGACGGACCGCTGTCCGTCTTAATTTGGAAATGGAGATTATTGCACTCCGGAAGGGGGCGCTAGTGACAAATATTTCCTGTACCAGCCAAAAAATAAAAATAAATAAATAAAAAGTTACGTTCCGTTTTCAAGCAACGAAAACATTGGAAACTGAATTCAATTTTCTTTTACAATTAGAATTAACGCGTGTTTGAGAGACAATGAGAACATAAAATGTTAAAAAAGTTTGAAAAGCTGAAATTTGAACCTAAAAAAAACAAGTAGATTTTACATCAGATGTCCTAAATGCAGTATGTATAGAAGGTATGATCTTCAATTATAAAAAATAAAATAAAGAAAAGAATATGTTAAAAAAAAAAAGGGGGAAGTTGAAATATTACGTCATATTCAAGCGACTGTCACGGTTTATAAAGCTAAACCCCTCCCCGGTTCGTTCCTTTCTCTTCCTAGCCGTCCTAACTTCAGGTCTGAGAGTCTGGAGGCCATCTCTGTAACCAGGTTAGACGGTTTATTTCATTTGTGCAACGACTTTCTTTATCTGAATGTGTGTAGCTTAAATAGAGGTACTGTAGCTTAAATAGAGGTGCTGTGTGGTTAATTAGCTGCTAACAATAGCCTTTGGGCAGCCACGTGGTCGATAACCGCGAGGAGGCCTGTTTGAATCTACTGCAGCTGATAAAGCTGAATATTTGATTAGCTAACTGTTAACCATCTGAATAGACATCGGTGTTCCTTTAAGGTCTGTTTAATTAAGAATTATAATTTTTAGAGACCATGAAGCAACCAGATCTACCAACCCAGTCAGTTCTGGGTGCTGCTGCCCCTCTGGGAGGTAAGTTGCTGCAAAGTTTCCCAGTTTATATCCACTTTAGTCTGTGATGAAAACTGTGAATAGGAAGTGCCGTCCGATGCGACAACTGACGAGGTTTCTCTCACTGTTCTGAGCCTACAACCTTAGCGAAGCTATATAATATAATTAGTTTTATCAGTTTTTTAATAAATTGTCTTTATCAGGTTCTGTGCTTCCTGCAACTTGAAGATGGATTCCAGTTTAAGGCAGGTACATTTTTTTTAATTTTTTTTGGTATGAATCTTGTTGCTCTTATGATGAAACTTAAACTATTATAGCTGGAATTACCGGCAGATTGTTCAGTGTTGATCACTAGTTTTCTGAGCAGTAGCTAATTTGATTAACGTTAACCTTTTCTACAACTTCAGTTTTTTAATGATGCATTTTTTATTTTTAAAGGTGTCCACCTGGTTGTCAACTGATCTGATATCTGATTTCACTCCGAACATGAAACTCAACAAAGTGGACGATGTGAGTATCTTAATATATTGAAGCAGTAAAGCTCTATGCTGCACAAACATTTAACTTGAATTTCATCTCTTCAGATTGGTTTGAAAAGTTTATCCTGTTATGATAGATTTTCCTTTTTTGTTTGGTCAGTCTTTTAATTCTTGTGTGATCTGTGATGAAAGCCTGGAATAGGAAGTGCCGTCAGATGCGACAACTGACGAAGTTTCTGATCCATTTTTCTGAGTCATTAAAAAATTATGAAAATATATGACCAGCAGGACTTCAGGTTTTAACTTGTGAATTCTTTTCTGCAGCTGATCCTGCCTGCATGGATTCTGGCAAAAGGTGATTATTGGATGTAATGTATGATACTGAAATGCATTGTTGTGATGAAAACTAAACTGAATAGCTGGAATTACCGTCAGATTGTACAGTGGTGAATCTTGGTTTTCTGAACATGCAAATTCTGTTAAATCTTGTAGCATTATCTTGCCGGTATTTATTATTCAGACTTTTATTACGACTTTATATTTTTCTTTTAGGATTGGGGCTTCAGTCATCTAACTCAATGTCTAGTGTGGTAAGATGTTAATCTAATTAAATCTGATAGCATCGCGCCATGATACTGAAAGAAACGGTGTGATTGCACATATGCAATCAGGCCGTCACTGTGAACTGTATTTGGCACATTTTTTATAGACTTCTGTCAAAGTGAACAACTTAGAATGACATGCAGAGCATTAAATGATTTGGGTTCTGTGGAATCAGGCATCTAAAATTTAACTGATCTCCCCTTCAGGTGGAACAAGTGAACTTTGGGTCAGAGAATCATGACTGCACCTCGTGTCGACCTGCTTCCAAGAGAATCCAAAAGCTAAATAACTTCTGGTAGCTTTCCGGGGCAGCTGATAATTATTTATGCATAATTGTTGCTCTGGGTGGGTTCTTTGAGTAAATGGCATGTTGTCACTACAAAAAGGCTGGTGCTTGGTGTCATTGTTTCTCTTCTGTGAACCATGCCATAAAGCAAAGGTGATATCTAACTGGCTCATGGAACAAAACATAGAGATTTTGGGTCCATGGCCTGGAAACTCCCCTGATATTAATCCCATTGAAAGCTTGTGGTCAATCATCAAGAGACAGGTAGACCAAGGAAAACCTAGGAATTCTGTCAAAATGCAAGCATTGATTGTGCAAGAATGGACTGCTATCAGTCAAGATTTGGTCCAGAAGTTGAGAGCATGCCAGGGAGAATTTCAGAAGTCTTGAAGAAGAGGGGTCAACACTGAAAATATTGACTTGTTGCATTAACTCAAACTGTATTAAAGGCTTTTGTTACTCATGATTGCAATTATATTTCTGTATGTCATGACAACATGTGACATACAAGCATCAAAAATATATTTTCACTGTAACTTTTGATCTGTGATAATAAAAAGCTTTTTTAAATTTAAATTCTTTTGTCTGAGTAATGGTTAAAGAACAAAGGATACCTAGAATATAACCTGAGCCACCAAGAGTGAATCTAGAGGGATGCATAGCCACACCTAGCCTATCATTGGTCACTAATATTGTATCTACTGGGATATAGTCCACAACTGCATCAAGCTTTCAACACAAATGTGGCAGCCTCACGATTGACTTTTCATTGAGAGAAACGGCCAGTATTGTGGAAAATGCATTTTTTTTTTTTTAAGTCATGCTTGAAAAAGGAATTCTTAGATCCTAGGTGGACGTATGCATGAATAAAACTGATTTAAACATTGTGTTCTGGCAAACAAACACCAGAAACTGGAATCTGCTTGTTCATCAGCTAAAACAAGAGAAATATGGGGAGTTTAATTCAATTTATGAACATGAACTTAAGCATTTTAATCTAAAATGATGATCCTGCGATGCACTTGAGTTTAAAAGTGAATTGAATGTCAGGGTGACATTTAAATGTATCAAGCATTCAGGTCTTTTTTTTTTTTTTTTTTGTAGCCCTTTTGGTAAAATTAACTTTTCAAAATTATTAAAAGGTAAGACTTTAACCAACAGCATGATCACTGTTGCTGCTCAATCACAGCTCTTAAATGGACAAAACATCAAAAGAGCTGATCTTGCGGAAAATACAAGTAACACCTGTTTTTACTTTATACTGCAGTTAACTGTTGCAATGCTGCCTTTCCCTCAGATTAACTGAAATATGGCATCACAACCTGGTGAGCTTGTTTACAGGGTAGTTTACCTCCATGACCATGGACAACAATCTACATGCCACCCAATATGAATATTTAAAGCCTATTCTGTAAAGCATTACTGGACTTTGTACAATTAGCACTCTTTAAATCTGAGCTTCCAGGTGGGTTTGGAGTGAAACTAGACTGAGATGACCTTAAACGCACTGTTGGGCATCTGTAATGCAGTGGGCTATTTCTCAAACAGAAGCTTTCACTGAATGGAGTCAACATTTTTTAAATAGCCAAAAATAATCAACATTTCACTAGTGTCTAATTCCTGTAGGAAACCTGGTGTTTGAGCTGTGGAGTACTCTGAAGGATCAAGAGATTTTACAAAAGCCAAGGTTGTGAACAGTATCCTGTGTGCGCTCCAGCCTTGTGAAATGTAGACAAGTTGCTGGAAAAAGATTCTAGTGGCAAGTAGTCAGCATGGGTTCAAATAGCACCACCAAGTGATGGAAATGAAGGACCAACTGCACCAAAATGAAAGGTTGGATTCTACTAAATTCATTTTTTATTGTATTTAATAGTGGAGGAAACCACAGTCAATTATCCAACACTAGAAAGTCTGTGTTCATGAATCCATCTGTAAACCCTGAAACATTGAGGCGTTTCAGAACTTTTTGACTAAAGTTGGAGTTAATAACTTAACATGCAGGATATCAAATGTATGTTTTGCTATGAGCATTCCTCCGAGTTTATCAGTAAAGATTCCTCCACTTGCAAACCTAAAAGCACGAGGAAATAAATCATCCAGCAAGACAAGACTGCATTAAAACTGATTTAATGAACCTCTGTCACATCAGAGATCAAATGTGAAGAAACAGTTTCATAACTTCCAACTCATCTATCGAATTGATTTAGAAAGCATCAAAGAATTTTTTTTTTATGACAAACATTTATTGAATCTCAGTGCACCACCTAAGAAAGGTCTGGTTTATGAACTGGTGGTGATTTAAATCCAGACATTTACTGAACGTGACCCACTGCATCCCATCAGCTTGATTTTTGTTTTGACCTGAGAAGTAATGTTCAGTTGGAGTGGATCAACATTCAGCCTGCGAACACATCTGCAACATGTTAGGAAGTTAAATCAATTTATATGTTTGTTTAGATTTTGCTGAAATCTGCAGACTGGATGAGTTCATAATGTGAAGAGCTAAGAACTGACTGAAGAAACCTCTTGTTTATTAATTTTTTTTTTTGTCTGTGAATTATTCTTATCCTACAGAGTCAAAGGTCCAGTGAAACAGAGATGCTTTTCTTTGTTTTAGGCATGGAGCTCAGTCCTCTTCCTTTTCGATGTAGCTCTTATTTGCCGAGCGTGCCATCTGCCTTGCCATGTAGCGATCTCGTGCTGAAGTCACAGTCTGTTCCGTGCTGCGCTTTGCAAACTTGTTTGCCTTTTCCTCTGCGTCCACTTTCTCCTCCCCCTCTTTTTTCTGTTTGTCTTCCTTTTCCTTTGAATCCTGCCTGACTGATCTTTCATCATCAGCATCTTTTCCCTCCTTCACTGCTGCCTTTTCTTTCTCGGGCTCTTTCCTATCCGTCTCCTCATGCTGGTCTTTGTCCTTCCGTCTGTCTTCATCTGAATTCCTCTTCTCTTTCTCACTTTTTTTCTCCTGCTGCCTCTCAGGACTTCTCTCCCTCTTTCCGTGCCTTTCTCTGGGGCTTCTTTCCTGTTTTCCATGCCTCTCTTCCCTCTGTAAATCTCTCCTCCCTCTGCTGCGGTCCTCATCTCTACTTCGATCTCTGTCCCTCTCTTTTTTTCTGTCCCGATCACTTCTGTCTCCATGTCTGTCATCCCTCTCTCTCCCATGGTGTCGATCTCGGTCTCTCACTCTGTCTTTGTGGCTCTTCTTATGTCTGTCTCTTTCCGTTCCCTTCTCCTCTCCACTCTCTGATGAAGGCGACCTCTGCCTGTACTGACGATTCGAATGAGCTGAGCCTCCTCCTGGTTTATTAAATCCAGTCTTTGGCTGGTGGTCCTCCTCAGAGTCGCAGCCTGAGCTGGCAATGTTCTCATTAGATGGAGGGGAGGAGGCGGGTGAGGTCCTCTCAGCTTCCTTTGAAGAATCTGACGGTTGATTTCTAGGGATTAAAAATATACATTAGGTGATAGAAAGATTTGCAAAAGTTTTTAATTTGTCCTCCCAAGTTTAAACCAACTTGTTTGCTGAGCGATCTGGGATCTCCTCCTCTCCAACAGTCTGATTCAGCAGGTGTCGATAGAAGCCGCTCAGGTCCTTCTGCTTCCTCACATCCAGAGCAGCTGAAAAGAAACATAAAACAATAGATACTTGTTCATAAAATACAAACTATAGGACAGAAGTCTGAAGCAGATGCACTCTGAGTCTGTTTTGAGTTGGAGCTCACTTATTAGGTCTTTCTAGGAGAGTGAGGGGTTATTTGGGGTATTAAGGACAGGGCTAGGTACACCATTTATGTTAGAGCCTTTTTCCCCCCACAAAAATAAATCAATGATTACTAGACTTTAATAATTGTTCGTAAAATACACATCATTAGAATCTAACCCTTGATATCATTATTTTTATTAAGTTTCCAGCCATCTTAATTTCAAGATAAACACAATATTAGTTTACAATTCTGTTCTGACAGCAACATGTCACATATTCAGTGCAGAAAGCTGGAGAATACAGACGAACCTTCGATCTCTGCCTGTCGTTTCTCTCTCTCTGCTTCCTCCTTCTGTTCTTCTAGCTTCTTCTTGTAGGCTGATGTAACGTAGGCATCTTTATCTGCAAACTTCTCCCCCTCTGCCTCCCTCTCCTTCTGAATTTTCCGCTCATCTCGCCGCTCTTGCTCTTTCTTTCGATCCTCCACAGCTTTCATTAACTGGTGAATGTATTTAGGCTGTAAAAAAAAAAAAAAAAAAAAAAAAAAATGAAAAAGAAGGAGTTCTGCTAGTAAACATTGGTTTTTCCACATAGCTAAATGGTGCAACATGCATCTTGTAATAGCAGAATTTACCCTTTTGTCAGCACCTTCCAGGACCTTTTTCTTGCTCTCAAGTCTCTGCTTCTGCATGTCATCATAGACTGCATCATAGTCGTAAACAGTGCTGTCCTGTTCCAAGGCCTTCTGCATCTCCAAACGAGTCTTAAGACAAAATGGGTGGGAGGGAAAAATGAAGACCAGAAAAAGACAAACCACAGAGGAAGGAAGCTTAACAAAGCCAAAAAAATGAAATATTATGTCACCTGCTTCATCATCTTCTTTTTGATGGCCTCCTTTTGCAGAGTCTCCCCAACTGTGGTCTAAATGATGACAAATGACACTCAATGTATTTATTTTTTTCTAACATTGGTCAGCGGATTCAAAACTCAACATTTTACTCACTTCATCATCGGAGTCATCTCCAAAAACTGAAGGTTTTGGCAGGATGTTGGTCTTTGACCCCCCTTTCTTTTGGGGCAAGATAAGCCCATACCTGAAGACAATAAAGCACAACAACCAGGTTCATCTGCTTTAGATATATTTACGTCTCTTTTAAATACAGTATCTCAACACTATAGAGGAGCTAGCATCTTTTTCTCTTTAAGCAAACACTAGCAGGCATCACGTTAAACGTAAACGAAAGAAGAAGGCTCCTAAAAATGGGTGTTTAACCCGCTTTACGTTAAAGTCGGAACCTAAGGTTGCACCCATTTAATACAAGTGTTTGTTATTTAATGTCAAAGATACGATTAAAGCAATTAAAAACACGCGTTTTTGACAACTGTGGTTACAGTGTGCAATAAATGAAGGCTATCGGTCGGACGCTAGTTAGCATTACGATAACTGCTTTTTAAACGGAGGAAAATCAAAATATGTTAATTAAAATTGTACAGTGAGTCCGGTGTTGTAGAAATACCAGATACGACATGAGTTAGTTTTTATGAAAACACACAAGAAGCATTAAAACGTAGTTTAAGCCTTGTAGCTAGTTTGTTACTTACTGTTTTGTAGGCAGCGCCATCTTTGCCCTGCTGACAGTGTGATCGAGCGCAGCAGATTCGATACCTGGGGAAAAAAAAAAAAAAAAACTCAAATTACAGAATAGAAATTTAAACAAACAAATAACAAAAAAGGACAGGATTTTAATTTTTTATGTAAACGAAATTTTAAATAAATATAGATCTGTCTGATCGTTTCGACGGCTAACAGAATATTTTGTCATTTATTTATTTATTTTTTATCTTTTATGTTTTAAACACAATTACATATCATATAAATTTAGCATCACAAAGCCTTAACAAATTTGAACATGTTCTGTACATGTACTTTGAATCATTATTTATACCACGAGAGGGCGATATTTCACCACTACAGTAAATAACTTACCTGTGTCCAATTTTCACTTTACAGTAGATCCATAATCGTTGCAAAACAAAAATCCTATACAAAAAAATATATCACTCAAAATTATAACTTAAAAGGCCATCACGGTATTCTAGTTTATATATATATATATATATATATATATATATATATATATATATATATATATATATATATATATATATATATATATATATATATATATATATATATATATATATATATATATATATATATATATATAATAAAACCATGAGGGGCCCAGTCCCTGAGAGGCCTGGCCATGGTGGCTATAGTGCTGGGGTCCCATGTGGCCGTGGGAGATGGGCTGTCCCAAGGTTATTCCGGATGAGAGCCCCAGGGTCTGAAGTCTGGGGACGCACCACCCTCCAGTGGGACCTCACAGGGCCAGGGGGCCCAGGCCCCAGGAATAAGACAGTACCTGACCCCACACCTAGAGAAACATCAGCGTGGCAGCAGACACAGGCATCTGTCAATGGCTGGTAGCATAAGGAGAAGATTGTAGGCCCTGCTCATCTTGTAGGCCCTGCTCATCTTGGGGCCTAAGATGTTCAGCGGTGAGGCAGAGGAGGCAAACACCCAACCTGAAAAGTAGACAGAAACCACTCAAAATTCATACATTCACACAATTCCACCTCATACAGACATATACAAGCACTCAACAGAAACTCACACAGAGGCAGACACTAACATATTCTTAGACTCCCCATACATACACTATCCTCTTGTGTCTGAGGGCCAAGTCCTCTAGGGAGAACAGGCCCACAGACCCAGGAGGAGATCCCCAGACCTCCCAGTGTGGAAAGGGGGCAAGCTCTTTCTGTGTCCCAGAAACAGCCTCAACCACCCCCATGCCCACCCCGCAAATATGGCACGCCTGTAAACCAAGCCCAGGTGCCAGACACCCCCAAAGTACCCCCATGTTCTTCTACTCAATTGCAGGCCTAGGCTTGACTACTGTGTATTTAAAACCGGGGTAAGTGAGGGTACATGCACCCAAACCTGACCTAAGACCTCCGGCTAATACGACTCCCAACAACCACACACACACCTGCACACACATTCCTCATACAAAAGGGACTGGAGACTGGAACAGCCAATCTCATCTAAGGGACTGAGCACATTGCTTAACCACAGAGAGCCCAAACCCCCTGCCAAGTAGAAGCATCTCACCCACAGGCAGCTTTAGGGGACCACATCCATTCCTAGAGTCTGTATGATATTGTCTCTTTGGACATATTAGAGGTTCAAACTGAGTCTAGCAGTAAAAGTATATATCAGATAAATAGAGTTATTTTAGGTTGGATTTTAAGTAGTGGAATTAAAGAGTTGATTCTTACAATCCTCCTGAATCCAATTAAGTTAAGCGACCCACAGGTCTTACTGATAATCCATGCAGTCGAAGCTTTTGGTGATTGTTTTTGATCATATGACATAAATAGCATTATTTAAATACAATGTTTTATATGAAATATGAGGCTGGTAACATTTCAGTGAACCATTGCAATTACTACAGATTATTTTACCTTCGTGACTGCAGTTGATTAGATTCAGCAATTGTCACTTCACCTGGGGACAGAAACTTTACTCATTTTCACTGCTCTTGTCTTGTCAAACCTGTAGTAAGCCATAATGTCGGAACAGATCACAGAGCACACGGCTCACCTGTGATTAAAACTGTGGTTTCATATTCCCACAGCTTCCTCTGAATGAGTCTAAATCCAATGACTATTATCTCTGTCGTAATCTGCATCTCCTCTCCGCGCTCACTGCTAATCCCCATAGTACAGCCAAAGCAGCCTGACACATGAATGAAAGGAGCTGCAATAGAAGGAGCTCAATTCTGAGTGTGGCAGGCAGACAGAGGGAAGATTTCAAACAAAGTGATTAAAAAAGTTTCATAAATTCATCATCATGCTTTTGGATGACACATAGAAAAGAACCACCGACAACCAGGAAATGATGCGAATGGCTTGAATTTTTGTTTCAGATTGGCTCCAGAGTTGTGATTAATCACTTCAATCTGTGATATTTTTGGTATTTCTGTCTGTCATCAAAAGAAACCAGTCTGTACACACTTTATAATAATAGCTGTAACAGTTACTGCTTACGTGCTGCATATCTGGCTTTGTTTCCTGTCTTGATAACACATAAGAGTGTTTGTTACACATGGTTTCTGCTATCATCAATCTGTGCAAGGCCTTGGGCGATGAAGATAACACTGCAGCAGTACAGGTTTAGACAGGCAGGCTTCATCACCACAGTTCAGAAATGCAACCGGATACCCTATCGCCAACTCACAGAGCTTTGTGTATGCAAATAAAAGAATATATAATATAGAAACTCTTTGGAATAAAACCCTTTCTTCTAGTTAGAACAATTATTATTAGTATGAAAAAGCACACTATTGTGAGATCTGTTTTCATAAACATTTCCAACCACTTATGTGGCTTTAAAATGGGATTTACTTATAAAACAGCAGCATTTGTGATGAAAAGAGAAGATAAGAGAGAAAAGTTCAGATTTTTAGTAAGGATTAAGTCAAAATCCCATCTTTTCTTCATTTTATTTGTTTTTGCAGCTTATTATCTTGATGGAGCTGTTTTGAACTTTATTCTCAATATTTTCAGAGCTATTTTCTAATTATCCTATACTTTTTTGATCAAAAACCATAATTAATAAATACTTCTTTATTTTGCATGAGGTATGCAAGAATTCCCTACATTTAAATATTGGCGGGTACGGGTATTTAGTATGGAGTTTTCATGTTTTCCCCATCAATAAATAAAGGTTGTCAGGTTATGTTCCGCCTTTAAAAACATTCATTAAAAAATATCATAGCAGGCTGCTTTATTTACATCCGGCACTCAGAGGGTTAATCCAGATTGACAAGCCAGAGATAGCTGCGCATGCGCAGCTGAACCTGACAGAGGAAACAGCCGGGGAGTAGTCAAACTGTCCACGACCAGAGAGAAAGGATAGGAAAAAAACCCCGGAGAGGGCCAAATAACTCGATTTTAAGGGAAGTTCTCCCATCTCAGGACAGCTATGCTCGTCTCGTCGCCATCGCTTCCTCACAGGTGTCCGCTTCCCGGTCGCTGAATGGCGCTGGTTACCGTGCAGCGTTCACCGACCCCCAGCACCAGCTCCAGCCCCTGCGTTTCGGTGAGATACGCTCTCATTTTTGCTCTTTTTTCCCCTAAATTAACCTTTTCCTCATCTATTGCATCCACCGCTGTATAAACCCACATCTTATTTAACGTCAACGGTCAACCGGAGATCCGTTGTCTTTTTTTTAAACGGCCGCTGACTGGAAAGCTTTGCCTTTGTGCCCGCGCGTGCGCATGCGTGAAGTCTAGCACATCATTTTTCAGTTAGTAACTCACTGCAAAGTTAACCTGCTTATTTTTTAAATCTATTTTTCTCTTTTATGCGTCTAATTTCACCACTTTATTACCTTACTAAAATATTCTATATTTTAATGATGTTCCTTAAAATGGTTCCTGTATGTACATTTCCACCGAGTTCAAATGCCTCATCTAAAACACAAAGTTCCTCTATTTTATGCGCATTGTGTGTTTTTGGGGGGTTATTCGAGAAGAAACAAAATACCATGAGAATTTTTGTTTCCTTCTAAAGGAGTTTGGGGGGCTTTCCTTTGTTTAAGGGCAAATATGGACGTGTGTATCTATGTCTTTGCATGTCTGTCACCTCCCTAGACTCTCTCTGCATAGTTTCCTGTCTTCCTGTCTGTGCTTGTGTGTTAGGATGTTGTGAAGGTAGGATTCCCCCCCCATCATGCCAAGCAGAGTTCCAGCTGTTTTTCCCTTCCTAATCATAGGTCCAAAGAAGCAGGAACCGCATTTAGAAAATCCAAAATAGAGAGGAAGTTATCTACAGGAAAACATGAAATCAAGCTTGTGTGCACACTTCCTGTGTAGTTGCTTTTCTGTTTAGGCAGCCATGTTTACTTTTATTTAACCAGTATGTTCTTGCTTTAAACTTCAGCCATCAAAAGCGTAAACATTTTTAGAGTTGACAGCCTTGCAGTGAGTTTTGTTGCATCACCCCTATGCCTGAGCCAGTTGTTGGTATAAAGGTATTCCAAGGTTTTAGATATCTGCACTTCTGAAAACCCACAATTGTTATTTGGTAACTTTATTGCAGCATTATAATGAATGCGATTTGCATTAAATCTATTTTGAATGAGCGGCAGCTGTGTTTTTAGAATATAAAGTGTTTAAACATGGGTCAGTTTCTTATTTTGTCATCAACCAAAATATGAAAATACTGGCTTTTAACTAGTGTTGCACCAATACAGATATCATCATGGGGAAGGGCCCTGATCCTGCACTAAAATGGTGGTGTTCGTATTGGTGACTACCAACAAATAGGGCACTGATACCATTTTGAGAGCCAAAAGTTTATTTAAGTATTGTCACCCATTCCAGATAGACAATAAAAAGTTCTACTGGATTCACTTTGTATTAGTCTTTTTCCAAGTTCACACTGCTGCCCTTGATGCTTAATGCAGATTTTTTTGTGAAATCCGATCTCTTTGCGTTGCTGTTCACATTTCCAAATATATGCGACTTGTTTGTAATCTCCTGTTTGAACTGTATTCATACAACCTAAGTG